AAGCTAACATCGCTTCCATACTCAACTGCTTTGCGGCAACATCACCTGCGAGCCCATGCAGGTAAACTCCAAGAATCGCCGCTTCTATTCCACTGTATCGTTGAGCCAGCAGGCCGGTAAGTATACCTGTCAATACATCTCCACTTCCGCCCGTTGCCATACCTGCATTACCGGTTGAATTGAAAAAGCCTTTGCCATCAGGCGTAGCAATTAGTGTGTGATGTCCTTTTAGAATAATAATAATGTTATGCTCTTTTGCTTTTTGAAGCGCACGACTGATACGATCGAAGTCGTCAGAAGTTGGACCAAACAATCTTTCAAACTCCTTCGGGTGAGGAGTCAATATGGAACCTGCGGGTACCAGTTGTAAGAGGTCTTTTTGCGTCGCTAATATATTAAGGGCGTCAGCATCGATCACCAACGGAAGGCGATAGTTGTCCAATATTTCGCGCAGCGCCATTTTTGTTTCGCTGGCTGTTCCAATGCCCGGGCCGATGCCAATGGCTTCATAAATGGAAAGATCCGCGGAAACGTTCGTGATCTTTTCTTCATTCTTATCTGTTATCACCATGGCTTCAGGCAAAGACGTCTGCAGGATAAGATAGCCGCAAGATGGAATATGACAGGTCAGCAAACCAGCACCGCTTCTCAAACAGGCACTGGCGGATAACACGGCAGCGCCCATCTTACCATAACTACCGGCTACCAGGAGTGCATGACCAAAATTTCCTTTATGAGCAAATCGTTTTCTCGGCCGGTGAATAGTTTGTATCACTGCTGTATCCACCCATTCATATAACCCTGCAACGGTTGGATAAAATCCATCGTGCAGGTCGATGTCGAGAATATGCAGCGCACCGATGCATTCTTCATTTTCAGCAACCAAAAACGCGGGCTTCAGGCATTGAAAACTCAACGTATGCGTAGCCCTGATGACGGTATTAGTTTTTGATGACCTGTCAACAAACATTCCGCTGGGTATATCAATCGAGATAACTGTCGAATGACTGTTGTTGATATGATCAACGAGCGCGGCAGTCATGCCTTCGAGTTGGCGGTTAAGTCCCGATCCAAAGAGCGCGTCAATGACGATCTCGTCTTTTATCTCATGGAATGCCTGGCCGGGTTGGATAAAGATGATCTCTACACTTTCAGTTTGATGCAAACGCGCAAGGTTGGCCTGGAAATCAGGTGTACCGATATGGCCAAATTCAAGTATGTACACTGTTACCTGAAATTGTTGCAAAGCCAGCATGCGTGCGATCGCTAGGCCATCGCCGCCGTTATTACCTTTCCCGCAAAAAATAGCAAACTGATCTTTACCAGGCATGTTTTCGTGGAGCCAGTCAACACATCGTAGGGCTGCCCGCTCCATCAGGTCGATAGACGTGATGGGCTCATGTTGCATGGTAAATTGATCCCAGAGGCGGATATCCTCTGCGCTGAGGATTTTCATTCCTCAAAACTATCTCTTATTCTTAACTTTCCGGGAAGAGAGCGATGCCGTTTTTTTAAATGGGGCGTTATTGATGTTGTTTTCCTGTTCATCATCGTCGCCGTCGCGCGACTGTTTATAATTACCAAACAGGTCATAGGCCATCCGGGCTGCGCTATAGATCTTACTATTATATTTATTACCGAGTACGATTATGGTCACTTTCTCGTCGGTAAGGCGCGCAAAAGCGGCATTGAAACCATGCCAGCGGCCGTTGTGATAGACTACTTTCTTGCCATTCGGTATCATCAGCAATCTCCAGGCTAAACCATAGTTATGAATGGATGGTCTTTCATTACTGTAAGGAGTAAAAGCAGTATCGAGTAATGTTTTTCGGATGATCTGGTCGGTATAGAATGCCTGGTCCCATTTAAGCAAATCTCTTGGTGTGGTATAGATATTCTTGTCACCGTAGGTTCCTTCCAAAAAGTCATTTTCCCAGGGCCTGCCATTGGGCTCGTAGGAGCAAATAACGTTGGCAGTATCCTTCATGGTGTATACGAAACTATGGGTCATTCCGAGAGGTTCGAAGAATTGCCATTTCAAAAATTCCGGGAATGTTTTACCGCTAACTTTTTCAATGATGAGTGCAAGAAGAACATAGTTGGTGTTACTATAACTAAAGCGCCGGTCGGGTGAAAAGCTGCGATTGGGTTTTGCTGTCATCAGGTAGTTCAATACATCGGCGTTTGTTACATACCTGTTCTTCCAATCCTTCTTGGGCATGAAGTATAAATAATTTGGCATGCCGCTTCGATGGTTGAGCAGTAACTTAACCGTTACGCCGGGGTAGGGAAAACCGGGAAAGAATTTTTCCAGGGGATCGTCCAGTGAAAGTTTATTTTCCTGGACCATGCGAAGGATGGCCATCCCCGTAAAAGTTTTACCTGAAGATGCGATATGGGTAGATGTACTGTCAGTGAATGGGTCTTTTGAGCGGAGGTCAGCGAAACCAGCATATTTTTCGTAGATGACCGCGCCGTCTTTGGCGACCAGTATTCCACCGTTAAATCCACGGCGAAGGAGGGTGCTGTCAAAGTAGTGAGATACTTCCCTGAAATAATGCCTGAATTCTTTTTGGTCAAGACGCCCGGGAGTAGGGGGGTAGTAATCGAGGGAATCATCTTTGATCGCGACAGGGGTGACGGGGCTCTTTCCCGACGACGA